TTTGGTGGGGTTTTTTCCCTGTGAAAAATCCTTGCTAGTAAAATCAAACATAATATATCCTTGGAAGAACAGAGGTTTTCCAGACATTGCCCTGTCAAGCATAAGCTCACACTGGAGTGTAGATGTGAGTTTTTGGGAGAGAGTTTTCTGTCCTCTTCTTCACCCTCTTTCTTTTCTTCTGCTTTCTTTTAACCACCCAGAGAGCCATGATGAAGAAATCTGCCTGCCATCTTCTTTTGCTTCTCTATTGTCTCCCTGGGCCACTGAAGAGATTTTATCCCTTGTTACTGCCCTTGCACCATTTTTGTTTTTAATCAGCTTATTCAGTTAACTTACATAACTGAAATATACAGGATGATGAGTAACTACTTCCACAATCATAACAGAGCATTTATATCACCAAAAGGGTTCTCTAATGCCCCTTTGCAGTTAGCTTCCTCTCCCCAAGTCCTGGTCTGTTTTGTTACTAGAATTTTGCCTTTTCTAGAACTTCATATAAATGTAACCCTATGGAATATAGTGTTACATCTAGCTTTTTACATTTAACAATGCTTTTAAAAAAAATTCTCACCCAAGGATATGTTTATTGATTTTAGAAATAGAGAAAGAGGGAGGAAGAATGGGAGGGAGGGAGGGGGAAACATCTATTGGTTGCCTCCCATACATGCCCTGACTGGTGATTGAACATGCAACTTTTTGCTGCACAGGACAATGCTTCAACCAGTTGAACTGCCTGGCCAGGACTTACTGTAGTGCTTTTGCAATTCATCCATGTTCTTGTGTGCACGAATAGCTCTTTTTATTGCTGAGTAGTGTTCCATTGTATGGCTATACCATGATTTGTTTATCAATTCACTTGGTGGATATTTGATTTGTTTTCAGCTTTGGGCTAATAGGAATAAAGCTAGTAGAGAATTCTCATTTAAATCTTTGAAGGTATATGTTTTCCTAGCTTTTGGATAATAAATGCCTAGTAGTGTATTGATTGGGTCATATGTTAAACATACATATAAATTTATAAGGAACTGCCAAAATGTTTTCCAACCTGGCTGTACCATTTTGCTTTACCACTAGCAATATGAGAATTCCATTTGCTTCACATGCTCACCAACTCTTGGTGTTATCGCTCTTAATTTCAATCATTCTAGTAGGTGTGTATGGTATCTCATTATGATTTCAATTTGCATTTCACAAATAACTAATAATTTTGAGCACTTTTTATATGCTTACCACCTGTGAATCTTTGGTTAAGTATCTGTTCAGATCTCTTGCCCATTTTTTAATTGGGTTGTTAGTCTTTCAGCTGTTGAGCCACAAAAGTTCTTTTATGTTATTGATATGTGTTTTGTTGGATATATGTTTTATACATACTTTCTCCCAATCTGTAGCTTGAAATCCAATTTATAAATTTATTTTTAAATCCTCATTCAAGGATATATTTATTCATTTTAGAGAAGGAAGAGGGGGAAGACAGAGAAACATCAGTGTAAGAGAAATATCAATCCATTACCTCCTGTAAACCCACAGCTTTTTGGTGTACGGGATAATGCTCCAACCAACTTACCACCCAGCCAGAGCACAATTTATAAACTTTTGGTAAAAGTGCTTCTATGTGCCTTCAGAAATCTTTGCCTAATTTAAATATTGAGTCTTTTAAACCATGCGGATGGGTATCTATTTAATTTTTAAATTTCTTGGTAATATTAATATTGGACTTCCAGATAAGATGGAAGTGTATGTAGATGCACTTTGCCTCCTCGCAAAACGAAAAGAAGGATAACAACAAATTTAAAACAAACAAATTAAAATAACCAGAACTGCCAGAAAATTGAACTGTATGGAAGTCTGAAAACCAAGGAGTTAAAGAAGAAACATTCACTCAGACTGGTAGAAGGGACAGAGAGGACACACAGCAAGGCTGTGGCTGGTGGACTGGGCGGCCTCACATTTGCATGCAGATAACTGGGGAGCGAGACAGAACTTGCAACCCTGGGTTCCAGTGTGGGGAAATGAAGCCTCTCAAAACCTCTGACTGAAAACACCTGTGGGAGTTGCAGCAGTGGGAGAAACTTCCAGCCTCACAGGAGAGTTCATTGAAGAGACCCACAGGGTCCAAGAACATAAATAAACCCATCTACCTGGGAAACAGCACCAGAAGTGTCCAGTTTACTTGAGGTAGCAGGGGAAGTGACTGAAAGCCAGCCAAGAGCTGAGCAAATGGTATTGTTCCCCCTTGGACCCCTCCCCCACAGGCAGCACCACAATTTAGCAATGTGGGTTGCCCCACCCTGGCATATACCTAAGGCTCCACTTGTTACAATGTAATAGGGGAGCTGAGACCAAAAATACATGGCCCTAATGAAAGAACAGATCAGAGCTCCAGAAGAAATACAACTAAGTGACGAAGAGATAGCCAGCCTATCAGATTCAGAGTTCAAAATGCTGGTAATCAGGATGCTCATAGAAATGGTTGAGTATGGTCGCAAAATGTAGGAAAAAGTGAAGGCTATGAAAAGTGAAATGAAGGGAAATGTATAGGGAACCAACAGTGAAGGGAAGGAAACCAGGACTCACATCAATGATTTGGAGCAGAAGGAAGAAATAAACAGTCAACCAGAACAGAATGAAGAAACAAGAATTCAAAAAAATGAGAGACTGAGGAATCTCCAGAACAACTTTAACTGTTCCAACATTCGAATCATAGGAATGCCAGAAGGAGAAGAGGAAGTGCAAGAAATTGAAAACTTATTTGAAAAAATAATGAAGGAAAACTTCTCCAATCTGGCAAAGGAAATAGACTTCCAGGAAGTCCAGGAAGCTCAAAGAGTCCCAAGGAGGAACACACCAAGGCACATCATAATTGACCCAAGATCAAAGATAAAGCGAGAATCTTAAAAGCAGCAAGAGAAAAAGAAACAGTTACCTACAAAGGAGTGCCCATAAGACCATCTGCTTATTTCTCTAAAGAAACCTTACAGGTAAGAAGGGGCTGTAAAGAACTATTCCAAGTCATGAAAGGCAAGGACCTACATCCAAGATGACTCTATCCAGCAAAGCTCTCATTTAGAATGGAAGGGCAGATAAAGTGCTTCCCAGATAAGGCCAAGTTAAAGGAGTTCATCATCACCAAGCCCTTATTATATGAAATGTTAAAGGGACCTATATATCTAAGGAAAAGAAGATGATCAAAATTATGAACAGTAAAATGACAACAAAGTCACAACTATCAACAACTGAGCCTAAAAAAAATAAATAAGAAAACTAAGAAAACAACTAGAACAGGAACAGAATCACAGATATGGAGATCACATGGAGGGTTATCAGTGGGTGGGGGGGGATGGGGGGAAAAGGTACAGGGAATAAGCAGCATAATTGGTAGGTACAAATAGACAGTGGGAGGTTAAGAATAGTATAGGAAATGGAGAAGCCAAATAACTTATATGTATGACCCATGGACCTGAACTAAAGGGTGGGGTGTGAGTGGGAGGGGGGTTGCCAGGCAGAGGGAAATAAAGGGAGGGAATGAAACTGTAATCAATAAAATATATTTAAATATGAATAAATTTATTGGTAATATTTTGTGGTTTTCAGTGTAGATACCTTATACATCATCTGTCAGATTTACCCCCATTCCATTGCTTAATGCTATTATAAATGGTATTTTTTTTAAATTTCAAATACCAATTGTTACTGGTTTATAGAAAGTTGACTTTATTGATATTACAGGATGAGACCTAGTTAAGTTCATTTTTAGTTCTATGCCTTTTTTGTATATTACTTAGCATTGCCTACATGGACAATTATGTCATCTGTAAATAAAGACAACTTCACTTCTTCCTTTCTAGTCTTTATGCCTTTTATTTCTTTTCCTTACCTGCAAACACTGGCTAGAACCTCGACCACAATGTTGAGTAGAAGTGGTAAAGCTATATCCTTGTTTTTAGGGAAACTTCCCCTACAGATTCTTTCCTTACTACAACGTCCATTGCACTAAATTGTTTGAAGTGTTCAGATGGGTTGGAAGGAACAGTGGTTAGGAGCTGACTACTACACAAGTACTACACTATGGAGCCGGGATTGTGTTTTGGACTGAAGAATGTTGTAGCCAAGAGTGAGCTTGTCATCTGTGACCTGTAATATAACCTGCATGGAGATCATTGAAATGAACATGCTAGCTAACATACCACTGTAGGATGAGTTGTAATACAGGGTGGATGCTGACTTGGAATAACTTAAAGGAGACCTATGTGAGCAAACAGGTAGACCGATCACCAAACACTGCCATCTTCTCCTTATTCATAATCTAACAGGAAGTTTCGTTTTCTAAACATGCTATTCATTACTAGGTGGCTTCAAAAAAAAGGGATAATCTTTTATTCAAAACTACCATCTTTTGACATAGTCTTCCAACCCATTAAATGAAATGTTTGTGTTCAAAATGATCTATTTTGCAAATTGTTATGTATCTACTAAGTCAGGTACCTACTTCCTGATACTTTAAGTCAGCATATAAGAGAAGGTAAAAGGAAAGTATTGAAGAATACATTTTGGCAAAGGGAAAAACTTACAAAACCTATATTGAACTGCGGAACTTTTGTAGGATATGTGCTAAGTGAATTTTGCAAGCAGATAAGTTAAAGGAGGCATTCAGTTAATTCCTCAAAGTGTCAAATTGAATAATTTGAGGAATTACTAACTTAGACAAGTAGGCTTATTTGAAATGTAAAGGCTACATTTATTGAAAAGGATTTATTTTAGTTATGGTTTCTTACATAGTGAGGAGCTGTCTTCCTTTAAGCTACTAAAAACTGTGGGCAGTACCATGGCACTAAGACTTTTTGTGATAGTATCCTTAGAAGATAATGTCTTTTGGTCAGGGAACATTGAAGAACAATTCAGTGACTTGAGAGCTTGGTGTAGTGGGTGGATTGTTTGTTGTCAGCAGTACTAGGTGGGAGTGCTTTATTGCTGACATACTATTTTAATTTTATATCCTTCAGACACTTGGATTTGAACTGCATTTTGGAATTCATCTACCCTTAAAATGCCACCAGCAGTTGGAGGTCCAGTTGGATACACCCCCCCAGATGGAGGCTGGGGGTGGGCAGTAGTATTTGGAGCTTTCATTTCCATCGGCTTCTCTTATGCATTCCCCAAGTCTATTACTGTGTTTTTCAAAGAAATTGAAGGAATATTCAATGCCACCAGCAGTGAAGTGTCATGGATATCCTCCATCATGTTGGCTGTCATGTATGCTGGAGGTAAGTACCACTGAGGCCTGCATTTTTAATGATCGTTCTGTGTCTCATTCAGGTGTTTTGATGTGTCATTTCTTGAAGCTTTATATTTAGAGTCGCATTTTTCATTACTGTTAGCAATGACAACTTTTGCTCTATTTTTTCCACTATAGTTGCCTGAAACAGAAATGAGAAATTGTGATTTGCTTTCACTATCACTGAGCTTTAAAAAGCTCTCAGAAAAATTACACATGCACAACTGATTTTTCTTATTGTTCTCTGCCAGACTCTTGAGATGTAAACATGAAAATTTTTTAAAATTGATGTTGGAGAATTAAAGTAAATCAGGTCATCCTGAATAGCTAATGCAGTCTTAGATAAAAAAAACTTTTCATGGTGTTAGAATTAAAGAAATGAAAAAAATCTCCCTCCCAAATCTCAAATTATTGGTCTTAAAATCATTTCATCTGCATCTTAAACTTAAGTTTTATCATTTTTCCCCCTTCTGCCTTGATATAAGAAGGAAATATGGAGAGTTTAGCCAGTGCTGACTTAATAACATCCTTTTATTTTTTTCCCCCAAAGTCTAAAATATTTATTCTCTAGCCCTTTACAGAAAAAAAGTTTCTGACCCCTGCTCTAGCTCTTTATTTCCTTCTTTTTTTAAAAGTATATTTTATTGATTATGCTATTACAGTTGTCCCAATTTTAACCCCTTTGCCTCCTTCCACCTGGTAGCGCCCCCTTCCCTCCAGCAATCCTCCCCTTAGTTCATGTCCATGGGTTGTACATTTAAGTTCTTTGGCTTCTCCATTTCCTATACTATTCTTCACGTTTCCCTGTCTATTTTTTACCTACCAATTATGCTTCTTACTCCTTGTACCTTTTCCCCCATTCTCCTGTCTCCCCTGCCCCACTGATAAACCCTCCAAAGGATCTCCACATCCTTTTCTAGTTTGCTTAGTTTTTGTTTAGACTCAGTTGTTGATAGTTGTGACTTTGTTGTCATTTTACTGTTCATAATTTTGATCATCTTCTTTTCCTTAGATATATAAGTCCCTTTATTATTTCATATAATAGGGGCTTGGTGATGATGAACTCCCTTAACTTGGCCTTATCTGGGAAGCACTTTATCTGCCCTTCCATTCTAAATGATAGCTTTGCTGGATAGAGTCATCTTGGATGTAGGTCCTTGCCTTTCATGACTTGGAATACTTCTTTCCAGCCCCTTCTTACCTGCAAGGTTTCTTTAGAGAAATCAGCTGATAAGCCTTAATGGGCGCTCTCTTGTAGGTAATTGTTTCCTTTTCTCTTCCCACTTTTAAGATTCTTTATCTTTAACCTTGGCGTTTTAATTATGATGTGTCTTGCTGGGTCCTCTTTGGGTCCAACTCATTTGGGACTCTGTGTTCTTCCTGGACTTGTATGCCTATTTCCTTTGCCACATTAGGGAAGTTTTCTTTCATTATTTTTTCAAATAAGTTTTCAACTTCTTGCTCTTCCTCTTCTCCTTCTGGCATTCTTATGATTTGGATATTGACACTTTGGGAGATGTCCCAGAGTCATCTTATTTTCTCCTAGGTTTTTGAATTCTTGTTTCTTCATTCTGTTCCGGTTGACTGTTTATTTCTTCCTTATGTTCCAATTCATGTATTTGAACCCCGGATTCCTTCCCTTCCCTGTTGTTTTCCTGTAGATTTTTCTTTATTTTACTTATGGGAGCCTTCATTTCTTCCCTTATGCTTTTGCTGTACTCTGTGAGTTCTCTGAGCATACTTATCACCAATGTTTTGTACTCTGCATTTGATTGGTTGGCTACCTCTGTTTTGTTTAGTTCTTTTCTCTGGGGTTTTGTTCTATTGTTTTGTTTGGGCCATATTTCTTTGTCTCCTCAATTTGGTTGCCTGTTTGTTTCTGTGTATTAGGTAGAGCTGCTTTGACTCTTGTCAGTGCACCTGTTAAGTTGTGTGAGGCAGAATTTTTAGGTATTTGCTGAGGTGGGGCAACGTGCTTCACCACTTTGTGACTTTGTATGTGGGGGGGTCAGAGAGGGGACAATACTGCTGTCTGGCCGCTGGAGCCTTGCTCAGCACTTGCCCTGTTTCCAGTCACTTCCCCCCTTCCTGTATGCTACTGGTGTTCCTCTGGCTGCTTCTCCAGTGGTGGTTCCCAGGGTGCATGAATTTGTGTTAGTTCTAGGACTTTGCAGGCCCTTTAGACGGAATCTCCTGAGAGACTGGCAGTTTCTACTGTAGCCCCAACCCCCACTGGTTTTTACAGCCAGAAGTTGTGAGGCCTCATTCTCCTGGTGCTGGAACCCTAGGCTGCGCAGTCTGGCCTGGGGCAGGGATCACTGTCTCCCAAGGTTTCCCTCCTGGCTTTATCCACCACTGTGAATGTGGGACTGCCCATTCTGCCCGCTGCTGCCGCCACACCACGTCCTCTCCATCCTGGCTCTCCGCCTCTACCCCTCCTACACATTTGGATGAATTTGACTTCTTTAAAACCTTAGTTGTCAATCCTCCATACAGTTCAATTTTCTGACAGTTCTAGATGTTTTTTGTTTTGAGGTGGTGATCCTTATGGTTGTGCAAGGGGGTGAAGCATGTGTACCTATGCCATTTTGACTGGAAGTCTGTGAATAACATCATTTTAATTACTGTTTGTTTCACCTTGGAACACCAGACCACAATTTAACGTAGAAAAGTCAAAACCTACTATACTACTTAAAATATACAGTTGCTTAGTTAGCAGAGATCTAAAGCCAAATGTATTTATTTACTGGGATTGACACTTTCCTACGTTGCTTATTTAGGCAAGTTTTCACTTCTGGTAATCTTTGTTTTTGGTAGCAGTTTAGTACTTCAGATCATTTTCATGTAGTTCTTTAATAACCAGTATAAATGTTCTCCATTTCAACTGTTAACCTGGGCCTTAGGCTTCTAACCTGGTAGCAGATTCAACCAATTTTTGTTTTGCTTTGTTTCTAATTTTTATTTATTAGAAAGAGAAGAAAGGAAGAGAAACATCAATTATTTGTTCCACTTATTTATGTATTCATTGGTTGCTTCTTGTATGTGCCCTGGTGAGGGATCAAACCTGCAACCGTGGCGTACTGGGGCAACACTCTGAGTCGCCAGGGCACAATCAGTTTTTATTAGGCACCACGTACATGTTCCGTACTAGATTAGGTGTTGTGATAGAGAACACTCGTCTTGAGCCTTGCCTTTGGGAAGTTTACGTGTATAATCCTGTTGAGACAATAATATAAACTCATGAAACAAATAAGTAGTTGAAGTCATAACCGAATTAAATGCATCATTTCATTGCACAGAGAACAGGTGACCTGGTTGTCTTTGAGATCATTTGGGTGACTGGGAACAGGTGTGGGAAGACATTTTTTTCTGCTGTATGTACCTTTCAAGTCTTTTAAATTTTGAACATAAGCCTGCTTTGTGAATTAAGTACTTTTTAAAAGAACGTAAGTGCTTTTAAAATACAGGCTCAGGACTCATATTAAAAAGGAACTTTGGGCATTATCTAGGTTCTGAGAGCTAGTAATTTTGGAGGCCTTTAACTCCATCTGCCAGGGTTTCTAATCAGATTTTGACTATGATGGCTTGAAGAAATTGGTATAAACATTATCCAGAGATACTCCAGGTGCTTGGTGTAACTTTAAGCTGACTGCAAACTAGAGGTTCACTATTGCAATTCCAAGCTGCCAAAGAACTTGAAAGCCTCTTACATTTTGCGTCAGCAGTAAGTGATGTCAGTTCTGCTAATTGCACATGATACTTTCTTTTGGGAAAATTGTTCCTTCTTTGTCCTCACCCAGAGATAACTAGCACATTTCTCCCAATTTTGTTATAATAGGCCTACGAACTGTATCCCTCTCTATTTTTAATGATAGCTAATTAGGGCCATCCTTCCTGAAATAACTCTGAAAGACAAATTGCCTGTCATGAGCCTTGTGGCAGAATTTCTACTAAATGGGTTATTTTGTTTTGATTGGTTCCTAAATAGTATGTCCCCTAAGAATTATCACTTTTACAACTACCATAATCCTTTAACTTGTGCATTAGGGCCACACCCTCACCACTAGTGTGCTTTGAGCTGTGAGTGATTCAGGTTTTCTGTTTTAGAGCTTTGGTTCACAGATACTTACTGACGCTTGTTAGAGTACGTTTTAGGGGAGAAGATCTTAGAGTACGTTTTAGGGGAGAAGATCGTAGTTGCCTACTGATGGTTTGTTTCCTGGCTTGAGTCTTTTCCTGTTTTTCTAACATGAAAGTGTAAATCTGTGTATGTTTTCATACCTACAGCGATGGCATCTTAACTTTCCCTCTCTAAAATACTGGAAACTTTACAACATTAACTTAAACATCAAAGAGTCAACAGTGTGGCAATATTTTGATCTTTGTAATTCTGACTATACAAAATTTGTCTCATGAGTAATTTAGGTGGAGATATTTCATTCTTTCACCTCACACAAGCTATCAATCCAAACTGCTTCCAAACCAGCTGCAATCTGATATTTGTATGAAGTCACTTAGAAGGGCGACGAAAACTTCTTCATACGTGTGTACTTGGTTGAGCCTGAAGCCTGCTATGGCAGCTGGGTATTGACTCAACACCTTAGAGAGAATTGGTCCTCTGAAACACTAGGATATCAAAAGCATTAATTCCTTCTTGCATGTTTATTAAGTGTATGTACACACACACACACACACAAAGTAGGTACATACATACCATATTTTGATTTTGGGTTCCCTGTGGCCAGAGCCTGTTCTTTAAATCCTAAAACACCATAGTGCCATTCTAAATACTACCATTAGAATATAATTAACTGCAGAATTTTCCATAGTATTTATGGAAATATGTCCACATATGACCAACAATATGTTCTGATTATATATGGTTTTTAAAATAGACTTGTCATCTTCTAGGGAGCTAAGTGTATAATAAACCAAATCAAGTCGTAATTTACTGTGCTAGTAGAAGAGAAATATGATTTGTATGTCTTCTGCTTTACGACTTAATTCCAAAAATATAGAATGCGTGTAATGGGAAGAACATGGGCTACGCTTGAAATTTGAGTCTCACTAGCTTTGTGACCACGCAAATTCAAACACGCCCTTCCCTAATGCTGCCCTGTAGTGACCCTGTCTTACCTATAGTCCTCTGTTGGGTTAGCCAAAAAGTGTATATGGTTTTTTCCATAAAATAAAAGACACATTTTCATTTTCACCAATAACTTTATTGATTTGGATATATTGAGTATGTTGGCTATCTCCTGCATGGTATACATTGATTTTTCTCAGTTAATGTCTCAATTTTATTGCTATCAACTTCAACCGGTCTACCTGACTGTGGAGCATCATCCAGCAAGAAATCTCCAGGACAAAACTTCGCAAACCACTTTTGACACGTTTGATCAGTCACAGTACCTTCTCCACACACTGCACAAATCTATTTTTGCCTTTCAATTGCATTTTACTTTTCTTAAAATAATAAAGCATTATATGCTGAAAATGTGTATATATTTTTCCATCTTCAGTATTAAAATGGCTACATAAAAATTCACCAATTTTGATAAGTTCTTTTTAAATGCATGCTGATATGACAGCTCTCACAATGCAATCTAACATAATTGTTTCTAATGAAGTTAAAAGACAACTAAGGGCTACTAAAGCCATCTTATGGAAAAAAACAAATGAACTTTTTGGCTACCCCAATACTTTAACCGGACAGACAGTTATGGTGTGATGTAAACAAAGTTTTCATTTCCACAAGTGAATATTCATGAATTAGAGACATAAGTAGTATAAATAAATGAAATTCAATTAATGTATTTTAACTTGTAATCAGTAAATATTACTAGTCTATGTAAGAATTGCATTGTGTTATAGCTTTTAAACCACTGTTTGCTTTGGATAAGACTTTTTTAATAATTAAAACAAATTTGGAAATGGGGAATTATAGATTATATCTATTGGTAGCAAATAAGAGGACATGTGAAATGTATAAAATCCTTTTCTTCTTGACCCTTAATAATTCATTTTTTATTTGGTTCCTTCTCTCACATTCAAGATAAACTTTTTTTTATATGCATCTATTTAGCTGAAGAAATTTAATATGGTTTTCTTAGCTAACACTCCATTTCCTACCCTCTTGAGGTGTTAGACCCAAGGATATTTTGGCTATTATCTGACTTAATCTCCTACAAGCATGTTTTTTCACAGTATTAACTAACACAAAGTAGTAGTATAGGCATGGAACCAGGTTAGCTCTCTAAAAGACAATTCAGCTCAATACCTGAGACATATAGATGTAACTGCAAAACTAAACTTGGAAAAAATAATTATGTATTTTTGTCTTTTTAAAAAATATAACATAAACCACATTTATGATAGTGTAAGTAAACCATCATATCCTAGATCGTCAAGAAGCCCATGAACATCCATTACCAGTACGTTTTCAGCCTGTTGTGCCTTAGAAGAGAAGGATTAAGGGTCTAGTCTTTTATATTTTAGTAAAATTCCATCCAATATATCTAGATGTACAAGATAAACAATTTATGGTGTTTTTTAACCTATTTCCAGTACATAAACCTCTTGACTATGAAAGAATTACAGAAAGCAGTTGCCTTCTGTTGTACCATTTATTTTGGAGGACTTGTCAGTGTCACTAATGCCTTGTGTAGATCTGAGGGGGTAGGTTCTTTTCCTCTGTACCACTAAATTTTTGGTTCTTTCTTAGGTCCTATCAGCAGTATTCTTGTGAACAAATATGGCAGCCGTCCAGTGATGATTCTTGGTGGCTGCTTGTCAGGCTCCGGCTTGGTCGCAGCTTCTTTCTGTAACAGTGTGAAGGAGCTTTACTTGTGTATTGGAGTCATCGGAGGTGAGTTGCTGCTGGTTCATTTTCAAGCATTAATTTTTACTGCCGACTATTTGGTGTTCACCTGCAACTGTCTTTGGGATCTCTTGTGAAATTCCTTCCTTATAGAAATTACCTGATGATTATTTTAAAGAGCTGTAAATACATTAAAAGTGCTAGTAGGTGTTCATTGTTGGATGAATGAATTGAAAAAGATGATTGCATTGCTCGTCCTAAGAATAGTCCGTGGTAGTAGGTAAAATGTGTGTGGCAACTTGTTGCCAGGGTGGTTACTGGTTCTTACTCTCTCTCCTTACCTCTTCCTGTCATGGGGGATGGGCTTCTATTAGAGGAGGAGAGAGGGTTAAACTTAAAGCAAGAATTATCTTGTAGAATGTCCACGTACATTTCTGAGGGACAGGATCGTCTTGAGAGTTCCCCCGCCTTTTTAATAGCCAAAGACTACTCATAATTTTACAATCCAGAGAACATGACTGTTAACATTTTGATGTGTATCCATGCAAACTTTCTTCTGTGCACAAATAACCTTTTTTAGAACAAAAAAAGGATCAGATTATTTGTTTTATAGCCAGTCTTTTCCCACCTGACAGATCATGCACATCTATGTCATGAAATATTCTGATAGAAAACTTTTAATCTCTGTTTTCTCCACTGAATAGGTATATGCCATAATTTTATTTGACTCTTAGTTACTTATTGAATATTTAGGCTTTTGGGCATTTTTTTTCACCCTGTATTATTAGTAAATAGTATTATTGATAGTCCTTTGTGGATATGAATATTTTCTTGAGATACATTTATAAAAGTGAAACTGCTATGTTTTTTAAATAAATATAAGCTAAATTTCCATCCAGAAAGGTTGTATTTATTTATAAAAGTTCCACTATAATATATGAAACAGGATATACCTTTGGCAATAATGGGATATTATCTCTTAATCATTGCCATTTTAACAGATGAACAGTATCTCGGTTTTAATTTTCATCCCTTTATTAGGAAAGTAAATATTTTTATGTTTGTGTCTGTATTTTTTTAAAGAAATGCTTATTGACCAGTTAAGTGTTCAGTTCAGTATTATTCTTTTTAAAGATTTAATTATTCATTTTTACAGGGGGAGGGAGGGAGAAAGAATGGGAAACGTCAGTGTGTAGTTGCCTCTTGCACACCCCCCAATGGGGACCTGGCCCACAACCCAGGCATGTGCGCTGACTGGGAAGTGTTTGGTTTGCAGGCAGGCACTCAGTGCACTGAGCCACACCAGCCAGGGCTCAGTTCAGTATTGTTATGTATATTCACATCAACACCATTAGTCTCCAGGGCACTTTTCATCTTGTAAACACCATTTTTTTCTGTCTTTGAATTTGGCAATTCAAAGTACCTCTTATAGGTGGAATCAAACAGTTGGGTTTTGTTTTTGTTTTTGTTTTTTGCTACTCAATATTGTTTTATATTAGTTTCAGGTGTACATCATAGTGGTTAGACGATCATAGTTTATAAAGTGATTACCTGATATTTCAAGTACCCATCTGGTACCATACATGTTTATTACAATATTATTGACTATATTCCCTCTATTGTAATTTATATCCCTGTGACTGTTTCGTAACTCCCAAGTTGTACTTAATCCCTTCACCTTTTTCACTCAGAACCCCAACTCCCTCCCCTCTGGCAACCATTGGTCTGTTTTCTGTATCTGTGAGTCCATTTCTATTTGTTCGTTTGTTCTTTAGATTCCACCTGTAAGTAAAATCACATATTTCTTTCTCTGACTTATTTCACTTAGCATAATATCCTCTAGGTCCATCCATGTTGTTGAAAATGGTAAGATTTCATTCTCATGTCCAAGCAATGAGTAATGTTCCATGTCCAAGGAACATTCTCATGTTCCATTGTACATACAGGGGCTGACAAAACTAGGTTTACAGCTATTTGTATGGAAAAAGACATGCAAAAATACAATTAAAAAAAGACATACAAGTTATGATTATAACAGCTGTATTAACTCAAAAGAATGTCACAAGGATACCTAGAAGATTGTACCCAAGTGCACTATGCTGTTGTCACATTCTTGTGAGTTAATAGAGCTACTGTAATAATCATACTTGCTTGTCTTTTTCCATACATGTAAATCTACTTTTGCCAACCACTGTCTGTACCACAACTTTCTGATCCACTCGTCTATCCTTGGGCACTTGGGTTGCTTCCATATCGTGGCTATTGTAAATAATGCTGCACTGAACATAGGGGTGCGTTTATCTTTTCGAATTCGTGTTTTGGGTTTCTTTGAGTATATACCCAGAAGTGGAATTGCTGAATCATAAGGCAGTTCCACATTTAATATTTTTGAGGAAACTTCATACTGTTTTCCATAGCGTTTGTACCAACTTGTATTCCCACCAATAGTGCACAAGGGTTCCCTTTTCTCCACATCCTCAAACATTTGCTGTTTGATAATAACCATTCTGACAGGTGTGAGATGGTGTCTCATTGTGGCTTTAATTTGCATTTCTCTGATGATTATGGATATTCAGCGTCTTTTCATATGTCTTCTTAGGAGAAGTGTCTATTCAGATCCTTTGTCCATTTTTATTTTTTTGAAGATTTTATTTATTTTTAGAGAGGGGAAGGGAAGGAGAAAGAGAAGGAGGGAAACATTAATGTGTGGTTGCCTCTTCACACACTCCCTACTGGGGACCTGGCCCACAACCCAGGCACGTACCCTGACTGGGAATTAAACAAGAGACCCTTTGGTTCACAGGCCTGTGCTCAGTCCACTGAGCCACACTAGCCTGGTCTCTGCCTGTTTTTTAATTGGATTGTTTTAAGTTGTCTTTTTGTTTGCTTTTTTGGTGTTGAGTTGTATGTTTTTCATAAAATTTGGGTACTAACCCCTTATCGGATGTGTTATGGACGAATTACCTTCTCCCAAAATCATACCGTTTTTATTCGCATTTGACTGGTTAATTCACTTAACATAACGTTGTAAAGGTCCATCCACTTGGTCACAGCATGTGTCCAAATGGCTTAATAATATTCCATCGTATGCATGTACCACACTTTATTTACCCACTTGTCTGCTGATGGACACAAGCTGCTTCTGCCTTTTAGGTATTATGAACAACGCTGCTGTGAATGTGGGTATACAAATATTCTCAATAAATTTTTTACTGTTGAATTTTGTTTGAAAAAAATGTTTAGTCTTTTACAATGTTTTTCCATAATTAAATGTCTACAATTTTTAAGTATTGAAAATTTTCAGTCTGTGATTTTCTTATATATTATTCTTAGAAAGTTATTTTCCACTCCAAGATTATGAAAATATTTGCCTACTTTTAAAAATATGCCCTTTTAAAAAAATAAGTAAATAAAAACATGTCTCCCCCTGCTTTTTACATTTAAAACTTGAGGAACGAAATACTTTGTTCCCACATGATCAGTCAGTTTATTCATTTACTCTGAAAATATTCTGAGCAAACAACCGTATTGTGTCAAGCACTGTTCTGGATGCTGTGGGGATAGAACAACACGTCAGGCAAAGTCATGGTCCTTCCTGGAAGGAGGCAGACAGCACCACTCACAAGCACGTGGGTGAGTAAGTAAAGGATCAGGCAGTGACGAATGCTGTGCGCGGCCTCAGTGTGGAGTGCTCCTACAGGGAGAACTGAGTAGTCAGAGAAAGGAAGGTGGCACTTCAGAGATGACCTTGATGCAGATCTGAGGAACGACATGGAGCTAGCTCTGTGAAAATCTAGGGGAAGATAGGCCCTAAGTCAACTGCATGCTTATTAGCACAGGTAAGAGTGGCCCAGTCTGAGGTCAGGGAGGGAGGAAGCACCACGTAAAGGTTATGGATAGAGAGCCATTAGCAGGTTTGAAATAGGGGAGTGTCCTGCTCTGGTGCATTGGTTTAAGCCCATGTGAATAGCTTAAACACAAATGGTGGAGAGCAAGAGGGGCAGGAAGAGCATGTAGAAGTTATTTATTTGTACTAGCACTATTTATTGAATAATTATCTCTGCGGTGATTTAAGATGTCACTTTTGTTTAACATTAAGTGTTTCTATATTTCAGGTATGTTCCTGAACTTTGTCCACTTTCATTGATCAGTGTTTACCTATCAGTGAGTCAGAGAGAGCCACACTGTTCTAATGACCAGTAGCTTTTAGAAGTCCATTTAAATTAGTCTCACTCCTCCTCCTCCATCGCCAAAAATTTCTTGGTTGGCTCCCATGTATTCTCTAAGTATGTGTTAGGGTCCCGTTACCTCATCTACAAGATGAAATACATTCACGTTTTCATTGGAATCACATACAATTTGTGCATTCATTTGGAGAGTATTAACATCTTGACAGTGTTGTGTTTTATTATCCAGACACCTTATGTGTGTCCTTTTTAATTCTCCAACATTTCAGGAAATTACACAATTGTAGCCATTATTAATTCTAGTATTAATTTCACAACTTACAGTTTTGGGTGCTATTGTAGAAGGGCTAATTTCATATTGTATTTTCTGTTGTAATACTATTTTCACTCTGTTTGATGACAGCCTACTCTATTGTCCCCTATAGTTATTGGTGATTTTCCTAGATTTGACAGATATTCACCTTTAAATAGTATGAACAATAACAAAAATAATATTTATCGAGCATTTACCACATGACAGGCACTGGGTGCTTTACTCGTAGCAGTGCTGTGTGCCTGTCGTACATGTTAGGGAGTGGTCACAGGAGGGCCAACGTGTGTGACATCACACAGACAACGAGTCGTGATGCGAGCTTTGACCCCACGTAGTCTGGACTTAGAGCTCATAACACGTCCTTCAGTAATGCGGATGTTTGTCTCTGTCTCCTTCCATTACTTACACCTTTATTTTAATTTATTTGTCTGGCTAAGTAATTCCAAGTATCTCTCTGACGCTGATTACGGCATGTGATTCTTTTTTCCCTCTCCTCCCCAGGTCTCGGGCTTGCCTTCAACTTGAATCCAGCTCTGACCATGATTGGCAAGTACTTCTACAAGAGGCGGCCACTAGCAAATGGACTGGCCATGGCAGGCAGCCCCGTGTTCCTCTCTACCCTGGCCCCCCTCAATCAGGCTTTCTTTGGCATCTTTGGCTGGAGAGGAAGCTTCCTGATTCTTGGAGGCCTCCTCCTGAACTGCTGTGTGGCCGGATCCCTTATGCGACCGATAGGGCCCCCACCAGTCAGATCGGTGAAATATCAGTCCAAAGAAACCTTTCAGGAAGCCGGAAAATCTGATTCGAAACAAGTGGGAAGTGATGCAAACACAGACCTCATTGGAGGAAACCCCGTCCAGGAGAAGGAGTCAATCTTCCAAACGATTAATAAGTTCCTGGACTTTTCCCTGTTCACTCACAGAGGCTTCCTGCTGTACCTCTCTGGAAACATGATCATGTTTTTTGGACTGTTTGCTCCTCTGGTCTTTCTTACTAATTATGGCAAGAGTATGCATTTCTCTAGTGAGAAGGCTGCCTTTCTTCTTTCCATCCTGGCTTTTGTTGACATGGTAGCCAGACCATCAATGGGACTTCTAGCCAACACAAGGTGGATAAGACCTCGAGTTCAGTATTTTTTTGCTGCTTCTGTTGTTGCAAATGGAGTGTGTCATCTGCTAGCACCTTTGTCTACCACCTATGTTGGGTTCTGCATCTATGCAGGAGTTTTTGGGTTTGCTTTTGGGTGGCTCAGCTCAATATTATTTGAAACACTGATGGACCTTGTTGGAGCCCAGAAGTTTTCCAGTGCTGTGGGATTGGTGACCATTGTGGAATGCTGCCCTGTCCTCCTGGGGCCACCGCTTTTAGGTACAGTACTTCTCCTTATCTCCGTGTTAACATAAAGCAGGCAGAGATGGGGAAGGTGACAGAAAGCAGAGACCAGCGAGCCTCTTGCTGGAGGAGAGCAGGTCTTGCGGGTTTCTGTACCTCCAGTGCCTGGCACAGCATAACTGCTCAAATACTTACAGTGTTGAATTAAACTGAACCGTCAAGCTAAGAGGGGAGTAAAATATTTTTACAAATGACATTGTTTCTTAAAATGTTTCCTCTCTGTAAAACATACATGCTTATTACAAGAAAACATGTAATATATAACTCCACATGTAAAGTACTGGTGGTAACTGCATTTTTATTAAATAATAATGTAGTTTATTTTAGTAGTAATAATAATAGCTACCGTGTAAACTCACCATGTACTGGCCTATTTTCCATATCCTCTTATACCTCATAAGACTATGAGAGTTCCTACTTCATAAGTGAAGAAATAGAGGATTCGCAAAGTGATATAAGAGTTTTTGAGATCTTGCTCCCTGGAATATATCATCAGCTTGGCGCCAGTAAACTCACATAAAAATTCAACCAACAAAAAAATAAAGAAAAGTGAAATAATTTGCCTTATATCACACAGCTAGTAATTGGCTAATTTGGGCACTATTTCCTAAGGTTATTAAATACTTCATTTTTTATATTGCTAGCTCAGTAGGTAGCACATAGTGAGAAAAAGTAATGTGACCCCCCCTTCTGGACGAAACTCCTACTTTCTCCTGCCACACCCAGTGAGTTGCCAAATCTTGTCAGTTTCCACTTCCTAAATCTCTTTCTAAGATACACATTTCTCCATTGCAATACCTCCCTTATCCACACTTTCTACCTCTAACTGCTCTGCCTTTATCCACTCTAGCTAGCCTTTAATCTGTTCCCTACTCCACAGGCAAAATTATCCCTGCAAATGCAAATGTGATATTTCAGCTCATTAAAACTCTCAAGTTGCTTTCTAGAGTGGTTTCCTGTCATTCTTAGGGTTAAGATCAAATACCCTAATGTGGCCTTCAGGGCCCACCTCTCCCTCCAGCCTCATCCCCGCCCCCGCCCCCCCACACCAGGTACACTGGTCTGTGCTCTCCTCCAGCAGCCCGGCCCTTCTCCCTTCCCCCTTCCCCTTCCCCTCCTGGCCTGCCTCCTACCACCTGCCTTTGTACCCTGTTCACTGCCTGGATCCCTGACCCATCTCCTCTCTCCCAAGTAGCTCCTTCCTCCTGTAAGTCTGGGCCTTAGTTTACTCTTGAGAAGCCTTCCTGACCCTGCTTACTGATCCCAATACTGTTTTCTGCTTTCAGACCTTCCTGATAGCACTTGTCACACTCAGTGTAATTATCTGAGTAACACTTCTCTCCTCCACTGAACTGTAGATGTATCCTTTGCTCACCTTTCTCCTCAGGGCCCAGCAGACCCTGTGTCTGGTGTCTGGAGAGGCTGAATACTCTGAGCAAGTGATGCTCTGAGTTAGAAACACATGGAAGCATATTGAATTGGTTCTATGGATAGTGTAGAGTAGGGTTGTCCCGAGTTGATTCCGTGAGATGCCAATCTGATGAGATGCTAATGAATTTTACTATAACAAGGATTAACAAGGATTTCAATGCAAAAAACCCCTTGGAAACACCAAGTTAAGCAGATCTCTTTACTATAAGACCTTGCAGAGCCCTCAACATGCTAATATGCATTGTGAATCTGTAACAGAAAAGAATAAGCTATGCCATTTCTTCAAAATATTTGACTTTGGGAACATTAGGGAGGCATCCTGTAGCACAGAGGTTACAGCTGCAGCTTCAGGGTCCAACTTCCTGGCTTTAGAGCCAGCCTGTTACTAACTTTGTGACCTTGGACAAGTTACTTAAGGCTCCTGTACAATAATGATAGAATCTGCCTGTTGTGACGATTAAGCACTTTGAATGCTACAAAGGTATTGCTGTTAGGTAGCTTTTAGCACAGGACCAGTGAAGCTGTTAAAAAATAACAATACTCAAGGCCATCCAAAATCCAGTGTGACATCGTAAAGAAAAGGGCGGATAGCTTTTAGCAGTTCCTTTGTAAACCAATTTGTCGTTTGAGAATTGGGCTGACATCTTTCCGCGTTGATCTCTGAGCTTCATTTGGGACCGGGTATAACTTTTATCCCTGTAACTATTGGTGGTTGTTTTCTTTCTTTTTTGGACATCTTTAGGTCGCCTCCATGACCAGTACGGAGACTACAAATACACGTACTGGGCCTGTGGCATCGTTCTCATCATCGCAGGCATCTACCTCTTCATCGGCATGGGCATCAATTACTGGCTCGTGGCGAAAGAACAGGAAGCAGAGAGGCGGAAGCAGAAGGAAAGAGAGGAAGAGGCCGGTGTTGCTATTGAGAAGCCAAAAGAATTCACCAATGTAGCAGACGCTCCAGAGCAGAAGGGCACAGAGGGGAGCCCCACAGAGGAGGAGAGTCCAGTCTGAACCATGGGGCTGAAGGGTGAACGGGGCAGCTTGTGACCCAAGATACCGGAAAATGTTCTACTGGCCTGCAACCTCCCAGTGGTGCTCAATGCAAATAGTGGGCATTTGCCTGGAAACCCTGCCGGGTGTCCCTTGAGGAAATTTTTGTTTCACTCCTTACATTTATCCCAAATTTAAGATGCCATATCCTTTGGGGAGGGAGTGGTTGGCAAAGAATGAGGGAAAGAAGTTGGATTTTTTTTTTAATCTTAGCTTTTAACAGTGTCATGAAGATTATAATATGTGCCTTAAGTTTTAGTCTTTAGAATCTTTAGGGAGCCTTAACTTTTTAAACCATTCTGCTGAATTATCTGCATTCCGTTACAAAGAAAAATAACTTGTTTGAAGCAAATCTAAAATTTAATTTTGCTTCAGTGTTATTTGTAACATATTGTCAGACATTACCACTGAAAGGTTGACTAGAAATAGTGGTTGAAAGTTTTATAAAATCCTGGCAAAGGTATTTTCCCAGCATCGATAGTTGCCTGGCATATATATGTGCCTGCCTGCTATATATTTAGGAAACTTAAGGCATAAAACCTTGGAAATATCTTGGCTATTCTAGACACATTGTACTCACCAACACTCTTCTGGTATCTTTTCTTAGGATGCTTATTAGAAGCCCAGTTCTTGAGTTCATTAAATTACTATTTTTGCACCCCTTTTCAAAGACTTTTTTTGTGTGTGTTTATAGATCATTGTCCCTTCTGAGATCACTAAGTATTGTTTTTTCACTGTAAAAATTAGTATTAAAATATACAAAACTACATATTTTATTTGTGCCTCCTTAGTGTAAATCTAACATATATCTAATTAAATGTAGACAGATATTTCGAACAGCAGCTGAATTCAGCTTAGTTTTTTCAAAAACCTCAGTTAAACTGTGAGACTTAGAATCTTTTTTGTTGTTTTTTTCTGGAATTTTTCCTCTTTGATTCATAGCAGTTCCATTTATATCCGTGTCTAGCTTAGAGCTGTGTGAAATATTCAGTCTTGGGGTGTTTAGGTTTTGTTTTTGTTTTTTTTTTTAATGTCTGCTAATTCAATATAGTCAGAGATTTGGCCTCAGGCAAACATACAAGGATAGGATTGGGAGGGACGCTGCTAAGTATTTTTAGTTCAATAAATAGCTCCCCTTTTCTGAGACATTCTTAAAGAAAATTATGTTTTGGTTAGAATTACTGGACACATTCTTAATCTCCCCACAAATATTCTGACCCCCTTTCACTTATTTGAAAAGTAGAGAAATGGATTTAGTATAAAGATAGGAGGGAAGATGGACCAGAATAAAAAGTATTTTTTAATCTAATACCTTTTAAATTGAGATAGACAGGAATAGACATTCAGTGAATTATATATTATATTCAATGTATTTTAAAGTATTGTAATTGACAGAGTGAAAGTATAGATTAAACACTTTGTATAAGAAGAGGCTTGCTTTTCCAAATAAACTTTTTTTCCTTTTTTTATAAATACTTCTTCCTCCAAATGTTTTATTTGAGGAAAATATTACTGTTTATTTTCATTACTAAGATTCAGTTTGACCCTTGCTAATATTAAATTAAATCATCCAGATTATCTGCTCTGGGCTTTGTGTATATGGTTTATTTTGACTTTCTCCTTTCCTCTTTACTTAAAGACAAGCAAGAGGGTAATTTTGAAACAATCTCTCTGAAAGCATCCAGAGCAGTTACCCATAAGGACACAATGAAAACTCCCTTCCTACGCCTGAGTGTCTGGCGTGGCAGAGGGAGGAGGCGTTTAGGGGAGGAGCCTGCTGTGCCTGTTGGCAGGCTTCGGCTCTGGTTTGGACTCTGCCATTTTCCATGGGCCCGAGTCTGGAACCTACCTCGCGCCTCTTTCCCCTTCTACAAAAATGAGGATCACTGTCAGTGAGGGAATGTAAGTAAAGGAAACGGGGGAGGGGGGAAGAAACGGATAAAACACATGTGTAGGATTATTTTCCTCTGCCCCATTTGTTAAGCTATATTGGTCTTTGGTCAACAACTGAATCTTGTTAGTGAAGGGAGGGGTTCGTGATGCAGATTAATTACCACTCACCAGAAGGAAAGTTTCTGAAGCCGCTGTATTCGGAAGCAAGGGTTACAAACTGGTTCAGAGCTGGGACTGAAGTATTTATCGCCCAGTCTAACCCTGACCTTCTCCCGCTGAAGATACAGGCCCGAGGGATCCACTAAGATGAGCTGGGGACCAGAGCCAACACTGAAACCCAACAGAGGTCTACTCCGCGCCATCTGTTCGCGGTAACAAGCAGCTGCTCCGCTGTGTTACAGTGCTGCGCTCAACAAGGAAGCCCCGGAGGCTTCCCCATGCAGGCTGGTGCCCCTTGCTCCATGTGAGAACTAGTTTCAGTTCACACAGGTTTCAGTGGCTGCTTTGGGAAAACAGATGTACGCAGAGTACCTGCCTTTCTTTACTCTGCCCTGCACCCTCGGGCAGTCCGAGAGACACACACAGCTCTTACATCGTTGTAATGCCCCGAAAGGCTCCCAGAGGAACACGCTGGAAGGCAGGGACCCGGCGGGCCGGACGACCGAGGATGCTCACAGCACCACACATACCACGGGTCACACTCGACCTGTGGGGAGCCTACGTGACCTCAGCTGGCCAGGGTAAAGGAATAATTTGTACAAAAAGTTGAGGGAAGGATGATAGTAAGACAAATTATGGAAAATTCAGAGAGGTATTTTATTCTTGATTTAATCACACCCATGAATAAGCTTCTGGATTCTTGGGTTGCCTGAAATTGGAATTTTATGTTTGTACCACAGATATATTTGTTAGTACAGAGTATTAATCCTGTATTTTAATAAGGAAAAAATAGCCATTTAATATTTTTGTATAAGCCAATGTTTTATTGTATTGAATTTCAGATTGATAACTGGGTATTAGTTTGTCTGAAAAGTTTAAATGTCTGGATCTTACCTTCCCCAGCAAATGGGTCACAGTATAATAATAACCTTAATAACCAGTCGTGTCCCCTTGCCCCAACCTTTGGTCGGAAAGATGAGGAAAGGTTAACACCAAATTGCCATTCTGCAAATGGCTGGTTTTAAGAGGTCAGTGATAGACCGTTGCTGTGAAAATTCTTTCAGTGCCTGACTGACAGGAGCTGACGGCCCGAGACCGCCCGACTGGCCCGAGTGTGAGCAGTCAGGCCAGGCAACTTCAGAAAAGCACCTACGGCAGGGCTGTCGGACTCATTTCCACCGGGGGCCACGTCAGCCTCGCGGTTGCCCTCAAAGGGTCGAATGCAATTTTAGGACTGTATAAATGTAACCACTCCCAGTTAAGCAAGAGCTTGGCACTGCCCCCGGGTAGAAACAAGGTACCAGGCCGGATTCAGCCTGAGGGCCTTGTGTTTGCCGCCTGTGATGTAAGGAGTTCCAGGTACATCATCACTCCTGAAATGTGTTCCAGCTTTAGACTTTCAGATTCAGTCACCCTTTCCTCCATTCAGCCTGGGCTGTGGTGACAGAAGCATTCATGTAAGAGTGATCGGTAGGGTGTCTTTCTCAGTGCGACAGCAGTGATTTATTTACTTATTTTGCTGGCTTTACCTGGACTCGCCAGAGAAGGCTGGGGTAGCTAGCAAAGGAATCACAGCTACTGGCTGCTGAACAATACAGGTGCCCGAGGTTCACAGAGAGGCAGGCTATATGACCTCAAGTTACTTAACCTCCCTAAGCCTCGGGTTTTTTCATCTGTGAGGTGTTCATAGTAATTAGTGTTAGCCTCCCTAGGGTTGTCGCGAAGGTTAGTTATCTGTCACATCACATGTTAAGCAGGGGCTTATTAGTACGTGTGAGCATCTTACTTTTTAAAATCAAAATAGTAATAACAATAATAATAATACTTGCCCTGGCTGGGCAGCTCAGTTGGTTAGAGCACTGTCCTGATAGGCCGAGGTTGCTGGTCTGATCCCTGATCAGGGCACATACAAGAATCCCCAGTGAATGCACAGCTCAGTGGAACAACAAACTGATGTGTCTGTCTGTCCCCCTCTCTCTCCCCACCCCCTCCTTCCCTTCCTGTCTCCCTGCCTCCCTCCCTTCTCTCTCTAAAAAATCAAAAACATTTGGGGTTAAAAAAATTAATACCTGAGAAAAAAAGTGAGCTCTTCTAATCCCTAAAATGGACCCTTACTTGCAGAGGAGAGGGTGCAAGTGACCCTCGAAGATAGGAGTATTAGCTTAATGGTCAAATTCTCCTTTTTGGTCAGACCCTCCCTTTGGTCTAAATGAATAGAAGAAATGTAGCAACTCACAGGCTGGTCCGTACACGTCCAGCTCTTTCAGGAAGGTGGGTTTGAATCCCAAAGCCCTTGCTCTTTGTACTCCTGACTGTGCCCAGCCTCACGGCGAAGGGACGGGTGGCCGACAAGCAGACAGACTCTTAAAACCAGCCAGTGTCTGATGATTCTAGAAGAGATCCATCTAAAATATAACTAGTAACCACTCATGACTCAGGTTCTCTTCCCCTAGCGATATTCTGAAATGCAAACTGAAAGACTGATGAGGTTTTTATTTTCCATACTACACGTTGATAACATTTAAATTATAATCAGTTGGTGGCTGAATAAATTGGCATAACATTGGCAAAGCAATTTCATAATCTGTGTCAAGTTACCATTACTTCACATTTTTTACTTAGAATTCCAGGCCAGGAATTTATATAGGAAAATTATGTCTGGCCCTGGCTGGTGTGGCTCAGTGGATTGAGTGTCAGCCTGCCAACCAAAAGGTCACTGGTTCGATTCCCAGTCAGTGCACCCACCTGGGTTGCCGGCCAAGTCCCCATTTGTGGGGATGCAAGAGGCAACCAACTGATGTCTCCCTTTCTCTCTCCCTTCCCCTCTCTAAAAATAAATAGATAAAATCTTTAAAGAAAATGATATCTTTGAAATTATTAATTTATTTGGAAAAAAATCCTAAAATGTGTATCAGTAACTACTTAAATGGATCTGTATGTGGTAAACACCACACAACACTAACTGAAAGAAGAATTTATAAGTTACTGTGCTGTGTGTCCATGTACTTATGTATAGCACATCCTTACACGAGCACAGGGGGAAAGGTCATGCACAGACATGCTGATCGTTCTGCAAGCCTATTGAAGGTGGAAGTGACTTTTTTCCTGTGTTTTCTCCATTTTCCAAATGTTATTAATAGGATGGTTACTTGTGTACTAAAAGAAAACATTTAACGTAGCACATACTACTGGTTTACAAAGGGAGTAAAACTACATTTGATCTAGAAGATGAAGCTTAGGATTATTACAAGCAGGTTATTTTTTTGTTGCTTCAAGAGTTGTATCTGATGAAAGGGAGGTGGACTCGAGCACAGCAGTCTCCAGTTACGATTTCCTCAGGCGGCTACAGGTGCCCGTTGGACTAGGGAAGCCAGCGAGTTCGGCAGTTACCCAGGTCGCAGTGCTGCAGTCCTAAACGCCGTCTTACTGAAGTCAGCGCCAGGAAAGTACACACTGCATCACACACACATGGGAAAACCAGGGGTAGAAACTGCCTGTCTGCCCACCTATCACTTGTTTATTCACCAACAAGCATTTACTGGGCCCTTACTGTGTCCTCAGCACTAGGCAAGGCTTGGAGAATCCAGCCGTGAAGAAGACACCAAGTCCTCCCATTGTTAAAACAAAGAAACGCGAGCCGAACTGGAGTCACTTTTGTTAGGCCACACCACCAAACCCAAACGCAATAACGAATCACAGTTTCCGCTTCTCCCCGGTGTGGAATTCTAACCCAACCAGCCTGGAATTTCCTGATCGATGCTTGTAAGGCAATCTGCCCGAAAAGACCCCAGGTGTCCCCCTAAGAGGTGTCCTTGCCTGAAATCCAGTCTGTTACCTCCTCATTCCACCCTCTTCCTGCCTGCAAAACCTTTCCTTTTGTACGACTCATCCAAGCACCCTTCCAGTTGTCAGATGGGAAGAACAACTTACTAGGGCCAGATGTTCAAATTTACTTGGCTGAATTTTCTTTTTTAACACCACGCACTTTATAGTCTGGAAGGGGAAGATAGTGCACTGTTGGTTAGGAGGCAACAGCAGTGTGCAGGACAGAATGGCGGCTATGAGGTGAGCCTTCATTCTTGCATTCATTCATTCATTCATTCATTCACACGTCTAACAGTGTTGTTGGAGTACGTCTCGTGCCCATCTGCTGGATAGAGGGGACGTAACAGTGAACAAAACCCAGCCACTGGCACCCACAGCTTCCAGGGTGGTGGGGAAGGGTGTGTAGTAGGTGCTGTGAGGGCAGCGCACGCACGGTCTCTAACACGGCACCAGGAGGGCCTAAAAAGGAGATTCCTGAGCAAGCTGGTTTCTGTGAGCCTCCTTGGTAAACAATAAAATTGTGAGGATTAAACATGGAAGTACACAGCATACTGCAGACCGCACAGTAGCAGTATACTAAGCAGACAGCGGTTTTA